CCGGTGCACCACCACATCAGTCTCCTCTCCTACACGCCTCCAGGTCTGTGAAGTCTCACCTCACTGATTTCATGTATCTATCAGGCCGAGAAAACGCCGCCACCTTTTCCTGAACGTGCAGATAAATCCATTTCAGTTTCGCTTTTCTCCCCCTTCCAGCTCCTGTCCTTCTCTCCCCCCGCCCTTGCTGGTGTGGCTTCCAACGAGGCGCTCAGTTCATTTCCTCGCGCGGGTCACTCCTGCCTCCTCTTCCCAACATCTCCTCCTCCGTCTGCAGAGGCAAGAGAAAAAAAAAGGGGGGGGGGGAGAAAAAATGTAGGGGGGGGGAAAAAAACCCGGGGAATTCGCCAGCGTGGAGTCCCTCAGTCCCAGCGTTCGAGCCTGTGCGACCCCAAAACATCTGCCGTCGGCCAAAGAATTCATTGCCCCAGAACCTTCTCTCTTCTTCTGGGGGAGAAAAAACGGACTAAGAACAAAACCCACAGACGCCGGATGTTTTCTCTGTTAACCAAGAAAAACAAAAACAAAAAAACCAGAAAAACAAAAACACCTAGGTGGCGAAGCGAGAGGAGCAAGATTCCTTTAGTTCTCTAGAAAACTAACAAGTCGGCTTCTCGCTGGGGGTGCAGACAAGTCCGGAAGCTTGCTGGAGGGGGGTGGTCTCTTCACGCAAAGGAGAAGAAACTCGAAGTCGCTTTTTTTGCCATCAACAACAACATCAATAACAACAATAAAAGGTCGTCCCTGTCTACCTTCCGCCGCCTCCAGCACGGCCGAGGCGTCCCGGCCCGGTGAGGTGGGGGATGGGAGCACGAGTCCAAAAACGCCGCCGCGCTCCCCGCCGAAGTTAGCCCTCGCTCACTTTTTTAAAAAATTTTCTTTTGCTTTTTTCCCTTTTCTCTTTCAACTTTTCATCTTTTAATTTTTGTTCTCCTCTCTTGCCCCCCGGCCCTCCTTCTGCTCTTGCGCGCGCGCCCTTCAATAGGTGAAGACCAGATTGGAGATGCTGGACTCCAGCCAGTCTCCCGAGATCATCTCGCTCACCTCCGGCGTGCAGTAGTCCGGGAACTCGAAGTGCGAGCCGGAGCCGGGCTCGAAGTTAAAATCCAGGTCCCGGTCTAGAGCCGACGACGAGCTGAAACTGCCCAGGGACATGCTCTCAAAGTTTGAGCTGGGGTTCAGGTCGAGCAGGTCGTCTTCGAATTCGTCGTCGGAGGACGAGGAGCCCGAAGAGGAGGAAGACGACGAAGAGGAGTGCGACGACGCCGAGGACGACGCGTGCGAGGGCGCGCTGGACGGGGCGGGCGAGGCGGCGCGCAGGCTGGCGTAGCTGCGGTGGTCTGCGGGCGAGCGGCCGGCGGCTGGAGAC